ATCTCATCTCATCTCATCTCATCTCATCTCATCTCATCTCATCTCATCTCATCTCATCTTATTTCATTTCGTCTCATCTCATCTCTTCTCATATCATTTTATTTCCAGATATCTCTTCTCAAATCATTTTATTTCATCTCACCTGAACAAATCTAATTTAATCTCATCTCATCCTAACTCATCTAGTCACATTACATTCATTCTCTACAAATCTCATCTAATCTAATCTAATCTCATCTTATTTTCTTCTCCTTTCTTTTTCTCACATCTTATTCCATATTTCCTCCTCTTATCTTATCTTCTTAAACTTTTTCTCATCTTATCATATATAAATTTTCTTTTTTTTGATATATATTCTTTCTCTATATTTTATTCAATTTTTCTTTATATATCTCCCAATTTCTTTTACCTATTTATTTTTCTAATTCTTTTTATTCTTCACTCATTCTTCTTTTCCTTTCTCTACAATCTTTCTTTTACATTCTTTCATTTTTATTTTTATCAAAGTTTCGCATATTTTGCACCATTTTGAATCGCATCCCTATTCCGATCCTGATTTTCTTATCATTTCCTCTATTTTTTACTCTTTTTAGCCTACATTTCTCAACCTATGCACTCAAGATTATCTTAAAATCCTGAGTCTTTTGAATCAGGGGTAGGAGCCTGTTCCCTCGTTTTTCTAATGTCCGAGATGAGATAAAGAACAAAAAGCCAACTCTATTGTTTTTTTTTGTATATACTTAGAGTTTCGAGAGCTTAATTGTACCCTATTAATGGTACGTTGTAAAGGTGTAAATAAACTGCAAGCTACTGTCAAGTGCTCCTTATACTTGCTTATACTCACTTTTATATCAGTTTTTTCTCAAACATTATCTAGTAATTTTCTTAAATCTTAATAAAAATAGTTGATTTCCAGATGAAAATGACTAGAAAATTGACGAAGACCTTTGTGTAATTCCCAAAGAATCATAATTCTATGCTGGATTGAAGTTTATTCTGGAATCTGATCGTAAAATGTGTCAAAATTAAGCTAATTAGTACTTGTCCTGAGGCGATTTTGACTCTTGCCAGGTGTGTTGATGCAATTCTGGCTGGTTCTAAACGCATGACAATTCTTAGTGGGATATAAACTCTGTTTTCCACACTTAATTCTGCAACTTCTAAGTAGTTGATAGGCGTTTGCTGATCAAAAGTTTACAGGATGCTCAAAAATAATGAATGATCAGATTTCGGCTAGAACAATTACCCCTTAACATTCTCTGTTATGGAGCAAGCCAATTAGGATTCATTAAGATCAACTTAACTTATTATCATAATCCTGCTTAAACGGAAAGAGACTGAGTTTCAATGAAGTTCCTGTTGAGACTCTCTTTTCCTATGAAAGTGTATGATTACTCCAGAGTATCGGGTTACGCCTGGTGGTTTCCTAACCTGATATACGCATGTAAAAAATTAGCTACGGTCTTACCAAATCTCCGCCATTAAGCCTTAATGAAGCCACTTTATAACCATCTATATATAAATATAGCCATTTATGTGTCTATGCAGCATGCCGGTTAGTCTTCTCGACTCAGAGTTAACTTGAGAATTAGTTCCTTTTAGGATGATGCCCATTATATAGCATGACCCACGAATACTCAGCCCATTTTCACTCGAAACGAGGAGGGGCATCTCGTAGACTTCGTACCCCTAGAGGTGATATTAATTTAAATGACTGCAAGACATCATGAATCAACATTCGTCTTCTGATAATATTGAACAATGAATCTCTTCCTCATGCATTTTTACATTTAATAAAAGTCTTCACAACAAGTCGTATCTCGTGGAACACATTTCCTAACGCTTCGATGGCTTCTGGCCATGCCTTAATTTTACAAGAAATAGAATGAAGCCTTGATGACTAATCTTCAAACGACCAGGAGTTAAAGTAACAGAGAATCCTAATATTTTTACTGTATGGGACGACGCTATTGACGCCTTTGCGACCGTTTCGCCCAAGGTTGTAATAGGGTTTTTTTCAATGAAATCATCTTGATGAACAGGAAATGAAAAATCGCCCAAAGCCTTTATAAAGCACGTCACTCTCTGACAAGCTTAGGGGCAACTTAAGGGGGAAATTGAGTTTAGG